TGATTATATATTCTTTTAATAATTTAAAAGATCAGTTTAGTTTAGAAGTATCGATATCGACGATACTGGGCTTGAAAATATCGGTATCGGATCGAAAATAAAATAAGAGCCCATCCCTACTTTTTATATCATAATTTTCAGTTGTATCAGACACTATTCCGCAGCTCTCTGGAACATTCTAGACTTCTTGCTTGCTTTTTTTGCCCATAAGCGCAGAAGCGCTTTACAAATTCTTAAGTATTGTGGATTAACAAGCTCTGATTTACCATTAGTTATTTCCTTAATGGTTGTTCTAGTTTTACAGTGTATATTTATGCTAACACTTATTTCTGATTTTGCTTATCTATCTCAGGAGCAAGCATATCATGATTGATCTTGGCACTGGTAACAACAACAAGATAAACTGGACCATGGAAGACAAGCAAGAGATGATCGACATTGTTGAGACCGTCTACAGGGGGGCGAGAAAAGGACGAGGTCTCGTAGTGTCCCCTAAAGATTACTCAACCAAATACAGATACTGATCTCTGTGCTCTTATTTAGTCTTTGCCATTTATTTATTTTTTTCTTCTTTTCTTCAACATTGGATAAGATCTGAGCAGTCAGCGGTATGGTCATTTGCACTATTTAATAGCCTTGTTTTGGATTTTTAACTTTATATTTAAATGTGTTATACTGTTGCAGACAGATATGGTCATCAGTCTTTTGTAACGTTGTCTGTCTGAAAATGCTACTATATATTAAATGAATTAATAAGTATTGGTTGTGTTTCTGCTGTTTGTATTTCTAAACTCTACCATGGCAGCACTAATTATTAAACATGTCAGAATTTAATATGTTCAGCTAAATCAAAATGAGCTACATTTATTATTAAGCTCAAGGAAGGACATACCCTAGTATGGAGTCGAAACTAAGTCTATGCTATGACAAAATGTAGTGAAGACAATAATATATTTATGCTATATATATATACACACTACTTAATCTATTTAAATAGGTAATTACACATATTTGTAACGGTAACATTAAGTAGATTAAACGGTGTGGGTGAATTGCTTTTTCGTATTTTACAGTACAATCAGCTGTATTCTGGCGATTAGGATTTGATTCGTTTCGGTGAGTCGAGTGTTTTCAATTTGACCACCAAAAAGCTTCATTCACTGGGGCCCGTTGCAAGTTACATTGTTAACTGGCAATAAGTGTGAGTATATTTTCTGTTTTTTAGTGAATCAATTAATCATTTATTTAACATACGTTTATCAGTGAATCATAAAATAACCTAGAGTATTGATCATATTTTTTCTATATTAAAATGTAGTGTCTTATTGTCTTATCGGTTTAATTTGGCATTTTGCTTTGATCGCTTTGAAGACACGCTGTGCCAATGTAACAACAGTAATAAACATGAACGGTATTGTTATCGTGGGCACTTAAAATATGAATAATTCTAGATATCTTAATATCCGAATGGTTTAGATTTTTAGGGCGCACATTAGCTTATTTTTCATCGACCAGTTAAATTTTATAACACTGCACGTTTGCCACATAAAAGTTCAGTCAGATTTTCACTTTGATCTGAACAAAAGCAGCAGACGGGCTGCATAAATATGAAAGTTCATTCTTTGACAGTAGGTGGTGCTTGAGGAACAACAGAAATACAGCTGTTACCATACCAGGTTGCACTTTCTTTCCTTTTTTTCCTTTTTTTTTTTTAAACCACTTTGGTGTTTATCAAATAACACCAAATACTTAAACGATGCCAGAATAACGGTTTGCTTTCAGTGCTGATTAAAATTTTAATAGTTCAATATTTAGTAGTTAAAGCATTAGCTCACTTCCAGTATACACATCTCCTGATAATTTACTCGCCCCATGTTATCCAAGATGTTCATGTCTTTCTGTCTTCAGTCACAAAGAAATTAAGGTTTTTGAGGAAAACATTCCAGGATTTTTCTCCATATTTCAATGGTCAATGGTGGCCAAGGGGCTGAAGGTCCAAATTGGAGTTTTATTGCAGCTTCAAAGGGCTACCAGCCGAGGCTAGCTCAACTGGACTTCACGCATTACATAGTCATGTTGGAAAGGTCACGCGTGACGTAGGAGGAAGTACCACCACGTGTTTACAAAGTGAACGTGCAAAGAAAAAAGGTAAAACAACGATGTCGGACAATTTTGAAGTTGGAGGAAAAATTGAGGGAGTTTTTCGTCCTACCCTACCTTTTTGAACTAGTACACAGACGAAGAGCTAACCACAGGTGACGTTTACAACGTGATTAGGTAATGCGTGAGTTTATGGATGCCCATTGCAGAGCTAGTGCAAGACGTGCATTTGTGGTTAAAAGGTATATACATTTTTATTATTTGAAGAAAATGACAGATCGTTTCGCTAGATAAGACCCCTATCCCTGTGTAGCCCTTTGAAGCTGCAATGAAACTGCAATTTGGATCTTCAGCCCGTTGGCCACCATTGAAGTCCATTATATGGAGAAAAATGAATGAATGAATGAATGAATGAATGATGCATTTATATAGCACTTTATTGTGTATTTTTGTACAGCCAAAGCGCTTTACAATCATGTGGGGGGTCTCTCCTCAACCACCACCAGTGTGCAGCATCCATTTGGATGATGCAACGGCAGCCACAGTACAACGGCGCCAGTGCACTCACCACACACCAGCTACAGGTGGAGAGGAGAGAGAGTCATAATCAAAACTGTGCATATTTAATTTCTCATCATATAGTGACTAGGGCTGGGTGATATGGCATAAAATATTATATCGATATTTTTTGCATGTCATATGGTATATATTTATCACGATATTCATTTATCTTTAATGGGGAAGGAAATGCTTTTCA